CGGTGAGCTAAGGAAATGCTTATCTCCCAGAGCTTGGCCTTCATAATTCCATTCCATCACTAATAGGTCCCACCTGCTGGTGGTGGGAGGTGGCCACAGAAATCTCCAACACTAAGGGGGAGAGGTTTGTCCTTGACAAAGGACCAATGCCTGTGTTTTGGAACTGTAGATCACATAGTTGCTGCCCTGAGTCAGCTAGTGTGGGACACCCCCTTTATGAGACCATCAAAAGGTCCAAGGTTGCCACATGGCCATGAACTCCTGAGGCACCTCATTTCTGAATCAAGGAAAGACGGGATGAAATTCCTCAGGAGGATAAACCTTGGAATAAAATAGGTCTGGTACTGAAGATGCTGCATAGTGGGAAAGTTGGTATGCAAGCAGCAGTCACATTGGATTTCTATGGGCCGCGTTCACAGATAGGATCTTATGTTGAGTTATTTGCGGAATAGCACTCCTGGAAGCCTCCAGAGTCTCTTGGAAGACAGTGGTTACACACACATCCTTCCCTGGAATATTAAAAGTTGATGTACCCTTAAACCAGATGCCCCTCCCCCCAAAGATACACACCCAGCCAGTTCTCAGTAATGCATACTGGATCAGCCTTATTACACATCAAAGAAGCATTCAGTATCAGGAAGCACCACCTGGGCCGAGGAAAGCTCTGATGGTCTCAGGGTGAAGCACAAGGGGCTGGAATGCAGCAGTGATACCAAACACCAGGGCAGCCTTCCCTAAGAGTGCACCACCTGCTGTGTATGACCATCTCTTCCCACGCCTGTTGTCACCATGATGTCACTGTCTGTCTTCTCCCCCTTAGAATACCCACCATCCCCAACCCTTATCCTCACTCCCCTAGGTCCAGGGCCCCATCACACCCTGCCACACTGCCAAACAATGAGCTGGCCAGCTCTAGCACATTGGTGTTTCTGCCCAGCGCTTAGCACCCAACACCCAAGCAGTCTTGCTCTTTCCCACCTCCCATCCAACCACTCAACATCAGCAGCCCTGACCCCCTCCTCCACTGCCCATCTCTACCAGCTCCCAACTTCTAACACCACTACCACCAGCCATCCATTTTGATGCCATTTTATATATTAAAACCATTCACATCTGCAAACAACTATAGCTCGGACAAAACATCTGGCCTTGATGCCATGTGGAAAAAAAATCAATAATCAGTAGTATTCAAATGTAGCTATCATTATACCTCTG